CATTCGCGTATTTTACTTCCCATACCTCCTGGAAACGAACTATCGTAACCCCGATAAAATTTGAAATCACGAGTGTCAGTCATTTCCGACCGTCTGTCCACAAATCCTTGGCCGGTGAATAACTTGCAAGGTACGTCCTGCTCGGATTTGGGTGAAATCTCACACAAAGTTACTCTATGGCAAGGACGAAAGAGTTTTGTACTTTTGAAAATCGGCCCAGAAGCGTCGGAGAAAAGGACAGGAACTTGACAAGTGCCACTTGGATGTTGATGAAATTTCCACCCAAGGTCACTACTACTATGCCAAGGATGAAAATCGGTCAATTGGTGGTATTGGAGAAAAAGACCAAAAACGAAAAAAAAAATCTCTAGAACTTCATTTTTTGACGTTGAAATTTGGGGGTTGGGGGTAGATTTGCCGTTAAAACTTAGAATGATGAGAAATGTTATCGATCCGGGCACTCGTGCCTATCAAAGCGGACCGCCTGGTAAATCAGTCTGGCTTATATAATGTATTCGTACTGAAACCCAAAAAACATAAGGATAAGGAGCTTGACGAACCGAAAACCGAAAGATAACTCGCTGCAGAGATGCCGCGCAAATGTGGAAAAGAACAACGTTGCCACATGGTCGGTAATTACTAGTAGGGCAAGAAAATAATATCTATGAACTAATTGTATAGGGTTGTTTGACTCCTTAGATCCACTTAGTCCTTTTTTATGTTATACATGTTCACTTAACTTGTTTCTTGTAATAATAGTTCTCTATGAACTGATGAGAGCATTGCGTGGGATGTGCAGAGTCATCCTACTTGACCAGGTTTTTCCGTTTCTGACCTGATATACATACAAATTAGTGAATAATAAGAAGAAATTCAATCACGTATGTAAACAAACACATTTGAAAAACTATACTAATCATACTTAGTAGCTCATTTTTTGAATATTCATGCCCAATGGAAGTAAACAGAAACAAACCATAAAAAGAGCGTTGACGTAGTTGCAGGTGCCTGATATCATATTCACGCTATATTGTAGTTTGTTGTTTATTGGAAACTACGCATATTGGTGAGATAAAACTAATTTACCAAACATAGAAAAAAGAATACAAAATTAAAATAAATTGAGTGTCGGACTAAAAAAGACAAAATGCGAACGATCCACACTAGTCCGGCATTGAAAAGCTCAAGCAATAAGCCCTCATGAAGTCATACATCACATTGGCTCGAAAAGTGCGTCGCCTCAGAAGATCAAAGTAATGAAGATAATATACGAATAATAACTGGGACTTATTTGAAACTGAACGCACGTTAATCCAGAAATCAGCATCAATGATGTCACTCCTGCTTGTGACAAGATATATTATGTTAAACTACTATGCCAGCTGTGGTAGACGTTAGGTATGTCGACTGGTATTAAGGCTTAGGATACGCCACCTTTGTACGGATGACTCTTAGGCCCGTATCGTCAGTCGTCCCTACAATTGTAGTGCGCCTTTATTGCCTCCTTGATTGTCATAGTTTTCTTCTTCTCCGTGTCAGAACTCTATTTTGAGGTTAATCACAAACATTTAATCAAATTGTGCTTGCTTTTGAGTTATATCATGTTTTATCAGCCTGAAATTTCCTACAAATAAAAAAGAAAACATATCTTCACAATAGGAGAGCTCTGACGCGGACACGGGACGAGTGTAATCTAGAAATTTTTGAAGGAGAGGAAAGAGTATGACAATCAAGGAGGCCATAAACGCGCCCTACAATTGTAGGGACGACTGACGATACGGGCCTTAGACTTAGAAACTACAAATATGAGGTTAAACTCATGGTGTGGGAGTGAAGCCAAAAATGTAGTAGTAGATTAAAGTAGTTAGTGCAGTTTTAGGTTCTGTGCATAGGGCAACTCACTCTTTCTCTGTTGCTGTTATCATGACTAAACAACTCCAATTTTGACAGTTCGGACGATTTGAAAGCAGAAATATGGATAACATTAATAAACCACGATGTAATAAACCTACAGAACATGTCAAAACGTGAGTAAAATATAAATGTAATTTGACTTCATGCGAATACATGTATCCCTTACACAGTTTAGCCTCCTATCTCTAGTGTTCGTGACCTTAGGGCAGTATCGTCAGTCGTTCCTACAATTGTTGCACACCTTTATGGCCTCCTTGTTTTTCTTTTCTCTCCTTCAGAAAGGTTGCGGTATTTCTAGATTTCAGCTGTTCCGTGTCAACGTTAGCGCTCTCCTATTCGTTTTTGAATCTTAAAAAATTTCAGGTTGATAAACTAGAAGCTAAAAATCAAATTTCATCAGCCTGAAATATGTTAGAATTCAAAAAGAAAATACAACCCCAAAATAGAGCGCTTACATGAAACAGTAGAAAGCTAGAAACAGCCCTAGTTTTCAGAAGGACAGGAAGAACTATAAAAATCAAAGAAACCATAAAGGCGTCCTATAATATTGTAGGGCCGTATCGTCAGGCATTCCTACAATTGTAGGACGCCTTTATGGCCTCCTTGATTTTCATAGTTTTCTACTATTCCGTGTCAGCGCTCTATTTTAAGGTTATGTTACAAATATCAATTTACATTAAATTGTACATACTTTTGATTTATATCATCTGTTATGTCAGCCTTGAATTTCCTTCAATTCAAAAAGAGAACATAGCCTCACAATAGGATAGCACTGACGCTGTAATGGAACAGTAGAAATTCAGAAATACTACAGCCTTTCTGAAGGAAAGAAAAGACTATCAAAATCAAGGAGACCATAAATGCGTCCTACAATTGTAGGAACGACTGAAGATACGGCCCTTAGACTATTGAAGTGAGTGGACAATTTTAGGCACTGCAATCTGACATCTGTCACAGATGTCGTATAACGTCTAGTCGGTGTCAATGATTACTTCGGCAATTACAGATAGCAGCGTCGTCATAGTAACTGTAGCTATATTCTCGCAAGAAAATCTATACTGTTAGTTTGAAAAATGCTTTTCTTTAAATAGGTTGTTTTGTTTTAATTTGTCTTTTAGTCTGAAATCAGTTAAGACGCAAAGAAAAACAAATATATACAGGGTGTTCCATAATTATTGCGACAAAATGATAGGGGTTGTAGAGGGCATAAAAATATGCAATTTTGCCTTATAAACCCCTGTTCGTAAATATGCCGTTTGAGCACTACAGTTAATTTTACCTTAAGAGCTCATAGGAGAAACAAAAAATTCACCAGCTGCAAAATGTTCGTCTAGCACATTTCATGGTCTCGCCGGTTTGTAGAAAAAGCCTGCTGTGTTTACATTTTTGTTATCGTACACCCGTACCACCTTTTAAAAGTCCAAGCCATGGGTCCAGCAGACTATCTGCCGCGTCGACGTTTTTGTCGTTGGTGGCTGCAGCAGGAGTTGAGGCAACCAAACTTTGGTCGCTACGTTTTGTTCACTGACGAGTCCTGTTTTACAAAGGACGGTTATTTTAATAGCCGTAACAGTCACATTTGGGATGAAGAAAACCCTCATGCCATAGCCATCCATAGAGACCAACATCAGTTTTCAATTAACATCTGGTGCGGCATTGTGGACGAGCATATCATCGGGCCATATCTGCTTCCACCACGTTTGGATGGGCATGCTTATGGTCGATCCTTACAGCATGTGCTACCGGAACTATTAGAAAATGTGCCACTGAATATAAGAGCCAACATGTGGTTTCAACACCATGGCGGTCCAGCCCACTTTTCTTTACAAGTGCGGCAGTATTTGGACGACAAATTTCCAAATAGGTGGATAGGCCGAGGTGGCCCTGTGCCTTGGCCTGCGCGGTCACTTGACCTGACTCCACTGGATTATTTTATCTGGAGCTATCTGAAAGCTTTAGTGTACGAAACTCCTGTTCCCAACCAACAAGAGCTACTGGGAAGAGTGATGGCCGCGTCCGCACATGTTCAGGACATACCGGGGGTATGCCACAGAGTTCGCCGATCATTGAACAATCGTGCACAGGTGTGTATTGAGCAAGGTGGAGGACACTTTGAGCAATTACTGTAGGTAAGCTGTTTCAAGAAACTGATCTTTTTTTTTTGCTGCAGCCCAAACGGCATGTTTCCGAACAGGGGTTTATAAGGAAAAATTGTTCATTTTGATGCCCTCTACAACCCCTATCATTTTGTCGCAATAATTATGGAACACCCTGTATATATATCGCATCTTCTAAATGGGTTAAAATAAAATTGGAAATCAAACTTCAAAGCCTTGCGAAGAATATTGAAGGAATTTAATCAACTGGACGTTTCATTTACACTTTAATTAAAAAGTAATTTGAAAATGCGGATATCGATTACCAGTCAACACATTAAAAGTTAATTATGGTGCATTTACAAATTGAAATTGATTTTTTCTAGACCATAATTAGATGAGTGCTAAACAAATCATGTTAATATTGATGTACAAATAAAGAAACATACAACGTATGCATTGTAAGTTCGTTAGATATGAACATGATATTCTGGCTTCGTAAAACCCAAATTCATATGCTCCTTTTTTAGATGAATCATACCTCCTATGGTAAACAGTGATTTAAGCTATAATCGTCATATATCTTGTTCCAAAATCAATACATCAGAAATCAAGTACATTATAACCTGATCCTACGACTTTGCAACCCACAAACCATGTTGCCGAAATGCTGGTTACCGTGGTTTAGGCAAATATCAGTGAATCGGCCGTTGACCTATTCCTCCATAGGTGGCGCTCGCGGAATACTAGCTACCCAAGCAATCGTATAAGCCACGTATATGGTGAGGTTCAAATTTGGCTGACGTCGTATGTGTATAAGAGAGGAGCGTGCAATATGTAAGTTGGATGGCTGACGTCGTATGTGTATGAGAGAGGAGCGTGCAATATGTAAGTTCGAAAGTGCGCCGATGGATTTCACTGTATATTTAAGTATCGAGTGTCTCGTCGACCTACTTGATACTACAGAATTTCATCGAAAAGTGAACTTACCTGTGCAGGCATGACTTCGGCGTTGGTTCCAGAAATGTTAATACCAGCATATAAACAACATCTGTAGTGAGCCTCAACAATATCTCTGGCGTAGACCTTGTTAGCCCCTACCCCACAGTAATAGGGACCCTGGGGGCCTGGGAAACCATTCTTTGGCCAACCCAATGGCCTCAGGTCCATGTCCAAGAGAGTGTATTCCTGCTCGATTCCGAACCATGGATGGTGGTCCTAAAAGAAGCAATATGTGAAAAAGTAGCTAAAATGCTTGGAAGGAATCAAAAAATAGAGAACAGGAATATCGAAGATTAAACTGACGTGGGTTTAAAAAATATCTTATGTGCAGAACCATAGCAAAATACTGTGTCGCTCCCTAATCGTATTTATCGAGCTGCAAAATACTTTGAGATCTTAACAGTTAACTCTCGCACCTTAGCTGCTAGCATGGCCTGTAGACAAGAATGCCTCTTGTTGGTTTCAGTTGGTTTCTTGTTGTATTTGTAGGCATCACATATAACCAGTTTGCTGTTTCCCCTAAGGAAAGGATCTTTGTAAATGGCCACTGGCATCAGATATGTGTCTGAATTTGCACCTTCGGCTTGGTACGTTGAGCTTCCATCGTAGTTCCAGACAGGCAGTTCTGGAAAAGAAAGACTACATTAGGTCAGGCCTTCAAGCACGTCATACTTTAGGTAAAAATCAATAAAAAGAACCTTAACTTCCGTGTTTTTCCTTAAAAAAACTGATAGTTACTATATTGATTCTAAGCTACACTGGACGAAGCGATAGCGTGAGAGAAGTTTTTCGAATCATTATTTTTTGGGATCTCGTTTGTTGGATGTTCATTATCATGAATTAGGAAGTTACCGGGCAGTGTTCCGGTGTTAATTTGTTTAAGCAATTTTTAAATAGATTACAAAATAAATGGCGTCAAGTAGGTTGACCCTGCACTTCGCACGCAACGCGCTTATCAGGGGGGCTTAGCAGGGATATATACAGCACAGACTAAATCATCTGAAAAAAAGGTCCGTCGAACAGGTCCATTCAATTAGGGTCGTATGATGAGTCGTTCTTACAATTATTGTAGGGCACCCTTATGGCCTCCTTGATTCTCATAGTATTTTCTCTCCTTCAGAAAGGCTGTCAGCGTCAGCGCTCTCCGATTGTGAGGCTGTTTTCTTTTTGAATGTTAGGAGTTAGTAGTAAATGTACCAGCATCAAAAAGTTGAGACAAACCTTACCCACTCCCTGAAAACCGTCACCCCCAATTTTGTTTACCTCTAAAATTTTTTCAAAAATGAACGTCAAAAAAACAAAGTTTGACCGATTTTAAGAAACAAGCTTTTGCGTCCTTGGCATAGTAGTAACATCGAAATCCGGATCTTCAGTTCCTGTATGGCCTTTCTATGCAGATCCCTTATTGGATGGCAGAATACAGTATATGGTACAGTATAGTGAGCAAAGATCTTAAATAATGATCAATGACCCTGTATATAGAACAATGAAAATATCTAATATTCATCTTTTTTATAATTCGTCAGTAATTCATGCATTCGCGTTCATAATGTATGTAAATTATAGTTTAGCGTATCATTATCATAACCGGTGTGATTAGACGCAAAAAAAACAACTCGATATTTCAAAATCTATCTATGAGGGTCTTTGTTATGTAAACTTTCCTGTCTCCACCGAAACTTTTTAGTTTTAAATTCATATTTGTTTTCATAAAAAGAGTATTTTATATGCTACAAGGTGTCCAACCATTATCACAGGCCCAAAAAATATAAAAGGAAGAAGAATTGGGGTTCGCTGAACAAATAATTTTGAAAAGATGCTGAAGTCGTGGTTACTCGGCAGTACATAAACGATCCCTCATCACTGTGTCACCCAATCTACATTGATAGTTTTGACATAAATTGGTCGAATGCGATATCTGTATCTATTTTTATTAAAAACATATAAGGCAATAGATTGATGATCATATTATTATTCGTTTTTTTTTGCTGTTTAAACCAGTCATTTATCCAATCGTTACCAATTTATAGTAACATCTAAAGGTAGGTACTTCTCGTGTACGTAAGATTGGTTGTGGTGTACCATAAAGTTCAGTTTTGGCCCTTTTACTTTTCCAAATATATTCTTCTAATATAACTAAAGTTTTAGATAAATGTTCCACTCATTTGTATGCAGATGATACACAGATACAATTTTCTTTTGACCGTCAGCTCAGCTGCTGTAAATGATGAGCTTAATATGGAATTGGATAAACTTGATTCTGAATCTTCGTCACATCAACTTACCATTACCTAAATCTGCCGTTATGTTATTTGGCAAACAAAAAGCAACTTTGTAAGACAACTTCACTGTCAGAGTGGGTAACAATACAATTAAGAATGTCAAAGTGGCAAGGAAATTGATAACGAAATAAGATTCTCTGATCACGTAAATAAATGCATCCAAAGGGCTGGTTGAAGTTTTTGTTTCAACGCCGCCATATTCTGCCATTTAGATTGAAGATTATTTTCACCGACCTTCTAGTTTACTCCGCAACGACGTGTATGGACACTGTTTGACAGAGTATCATAAAAAGGCCTCTATGTTTATGGAGAGATCATTTACACTTAATAGTTATAGAATACAATACTATCCGCTTCGATTTTAAGAACGTATCTTCCAAATTACTCAAAGTCAACTACAAAAAGTATCTACTATAAACTGCATTATAATAAACCCTCAAGAATCATTATGGCAGAAGCAATATCATCTGACACTGTTTTTCTGTTTTTGTCGACACTATATTCATTCTCAACCGTTTTTATTTCTTCTCAAGTAACTTCGCTTATAATTAATTCACTTACATATATGTATATATGTATATATTGATAGCTTTTAGTTTTGAGGTATATTACTACTATATACACGGAAAACTGAATACAACTGACGTCCTAATGTGTACGAGAGAGAAGCGTGCAATACTTGTGTTAGAAAGAGATAGAAGCACCTCGTGGCCTTGCAACCCAAGTGACGAGGACACGGACGCCATCGGCGTACTCTTTCTAATATACATATTGGACGCTTCTCGCGCTTCTCTCTCGAACACATTGCGACGTCAGCTAAATTTGGTACCTCACCGTATAAATATAGGTATATAAGTTCTCTCCGGATAGTGTTCATTAAATTTATCTCAATTGGGTCAGCACTTGTATCGGCTTTTCTGTATGATGGCCCTTTTTGCTATATTACATCTATTGTTTAAATGAGTTACTGTAATGGCTGGTCGCAAATGTGAATAAATTTGTTTATTATTATTGTTATATGGGTATCAAATGCAAGAGCTTAACAAGACGAACACGATAAGCAAAGTGACGTCATTGTAAATCCAATATGGCGTCCGCCGCAGAATGGCGATTTACATTGGAAACATGGCGTAGTCTCTAATACGATGGCAGGAATTATATTAGGACCAAATTTGAGTATGGGGAGGCCTTGGTATCGACTACAGTTTCGTACTGGAGGCCCATGGTGAAGTTGGCCCTAAAAATCTTTGCGAGTTCAAAGTAGCGATTTTCTCCATCTAAACAATCTGGATTTCAAAACATCGACCTTGTCATTTTACAAGTGGTGGCACGGGAATTAGGATCACACGGTATACAGCGATTGTAAAGGAGAACAGGTGTTTTTCCTTATCAGAGTATACTGAAATGGGCAAATGCTTGTAACAGGTTATCTTTGGGAACTTGTTTTTTTCCAGCTGGTTATTCAACTGAGTGAAAAAATACGAAAGTGTATCCATCGAAACATAGCCTTGACAACTTCTCAATAATGTAGTCAAGTGTATTGGAGATTCTTCGTGTTGATATCTATGATGTTGGAATTTTTCCCATGATATTTTAACATCGATAATGAGAACTCTTGTCTTCCAAAGCTCGCTGCAAGATGGCACAAAACAGTCACAACCATGGGCGTCAATTATACGAGGCAAGAGCGGGCATAATTATAACGCCCTGGTTCCCTTTTGGAAGTTAAAATATACCTTTAGGCGACGAGTGGCGTGAATTTTTTTTTTTGTTTTCAAAACGTCCGCGAAAATATCCTCACTAGATGTAAATTGTTCGGGCTCATAAAGAGACATGTACATTTCCAAAAACTATAAACAAATCGACTGCACTAACTGAAAAAAAAAATTAAGAATTGTAGGATCAAATATCAAAATACATCAAGCTGTTTTAAGCTCGTGAAACAGAAATCTCAAAGTTAAACTTTATATTTCAAATCCGCCACTTTTACTTTATAAAATTACAGCATACCCAGTGTTAATCGCACTGTCAGGACAAATCTAGAGTCGCCTCGTATATCAAAATCCATCAAGCTGTTCCAAAGCTCTCTGCAAGATGGCACAAAACAGTCACAACCATGGGCGTCAATTATACGAGGCAAGAGCGGGCATAATTATAACGCCCTGGTTCCCTTTTGGAAGTTAAAATATACCTTTAGGCGACGAGTGGCGTGAATTTTTTTTTTGTTTTCAAAACGTCCGCGAAAATATCCTCACTAGATGTAAATTGTTCGGGCTCATAAAGAGACATGTACATTTCCAAAAACTATAAACAAATCGACTGCACTAACTGAAAAAAAAAATTAAGAATTGTAGGATCAAATATCAAAATACATCAAGCTGTTTTAAGCTCGTGAAACAGAAATCTCAAAGTTAAACTTTATATTTCAAATCCGCCACTTTTACTTTATAAAATTTCAGCATACCCAGTGTTAATCGCACTGTCAGGACAACTCTAGAGTCGCCTCGTATATCAAAATCCATCAAGCTGTCCCAGTAAAATTCGAATTTCAATGTTGAAAATGTTTACTAAAATCCGCCATTTTCATTTTATAAAATTTTAGTATACCCAGTGTCATTCGCATTATCCAGACATATCTAAAACAACCTCACATGTCAAAATCTTCCTGAGCTGTGTTTTTGATTAAAATGTGACATTTTGATTTTACAATAAGTTCTTTAGCATACCCAGTGTAACTCAGGCTGTTAGGACAAATCCAGATACGGGAAAATAACAGATCTTTATATCTTACCATCTGGTTTCTTTGGAATAAAATCTAGTGTCCTGGTCTTGCACCTGATGTTTTCTCCGGTGCCGTCTATCCATAGATATGTGGCTTGGCACTTGTCATCTGGAACTGGCAGTGTGAGGTAGTGCTGAAATATGGACTTGTTCAGCAAGGCATTTGGAGAATTCTTCAACATGGCTGCAAAAAATAGAACAAAATCAGACTACGACTTCAAAAAATAAGGTCAAGTATGTCAACTTAGTACTTCCCATAGAAAGATATAAATCTATTTGGAAATATAGGTAATCAAAAATGTTGAGCGCCACGAGTAATAACTAGGACATGAAAAAAGGTTGATATTTTTTGAACAATATACCCTCTATAATATTTTTTTGGTTTCACCATAAAGGGACGAGAAAGTTCAGAAACGGCCAGTAACGTTGATTTGAGATTGTTTGAAAATTATGACTCCTGCAAGTTTTTTGACCAGAATGTCCGAGAACGAATACGAGCTCAAAAGTACAGGACTTTCTGAATTTTAGTTTTTGATTTCCAGTTTTATCTCTTAAGCCAGTGGACCGAGTTTGTAGTCCTCATACTTACATATGTGTGCCAAAATTTCATCAAAATTAAACCAATACTCTTCAGGTTTTCTCATGTAACATTCAAAAATCAATATTTAAAATTCGAAAATCACTACGATCCATCTTAGAGCTTTTTTCATGTCACTGAAACTTAAAAAGTTGAAATATCCTTTCTGCTCTGAATAGGACACAGCATTTTTGGTATACGTAGTAGAACCTCATACAACAAATGAACTAATCTAAAGATGCTCCTCGAAACTTTGCAATTTATCTTCGCCAAATACTCATATGATCAATGCTACATTTCTGTTTACTATTGTTTTGTATTTCGTTGATACACTCGATATATTTCAAATAAGTGGCTTCAAACAAATTAGAAAAGTACCTTTCTTATCACAGTATCAATATCACTTGAATGACACGATTGTGTTTGAACAATACAGATAACGATTTTGTTATAATAGCTTATCTTATATTCATGAACAATGTATAATGGCTACAGAAAAAGTCCCAGATCGGTCTCAATTTGATTTCTTAGCATGTGGAGTATCAATGACGTCAGTTAGGTCAAAGTATAACAGATAAACATTATTATTCAATATGTATTTTATTTTTCAACAGAAGTCAAATAATTTCAAGGTAAATGAAGATATTCTTATCAGAAAATGGATGTTGTTTTTATAGGCCACTTTAGTAATATCACATTGATGATAATGATTGTGGGAAAAATTCTGAACATATCAGAATCACCTCTACTATAAACGTCAAGTGTAGACCAAACCTATTATTCATTTACAAAACATAAGTAGCTTAAGATATGTTATTATTTATTAATTTTAACTATCAATTTAGATGTTGGTTGGTCGACAATATTGCAGAATTTACTTCTCAATGCAAAGACGGAACAATATGAACAATGACCCAAAATGCGTCTTTCTTTTATATTGAAAAACTCGACAACATCTCCATCGGCTTTTCATACCCGAAATGTGAGATTGTCCAAAAATGTGTTACAGCTCTGAAGCTTTATGAATACGTCTACTCGTTTTGTTTCCTACTAAATTAGTCCTCGTAATATCATATTAGTTGCGATTTGGGTTCAAAGCACTTTCATTTAAATGTGCGCTATCTAGGATTCTTTGTTTGGCAACAATCATGATCTATAAATATGATACTAGTAATTTTCCATCGTTACACGGTTTCTGAGTAGACACATATTATCAACGATGTGTTGTTAATAGATTTTGCACACGCAGATTACGTGAAACCTTGGTCGAAAAGTGGAATTGACTATTCCATAGACAATTGAGTGATGCGCAAAGGAAATTTCACTGTAAAAAGTCTATAATTGACACTTAAGTGTTTTAAATCCACAACGAGAACATTGTATTGCAGTTTTGGCGTTCCTGATTACTTCTACAGGGCGGGTCATTTAGTGTTTGAAATTTGAACTAGAGGTTATGTTTCCATCGAATGCTAAAATGTTATTTTGTCTTGCTAGAAAATTAGTTATGTGCGACATATTCGAAATGGGGCGATATACCCTTGAACAAAAAATGGCGTCAAGTAAGTTAACTCTATACTTCTGTTGAAGACATTTCCAAGTTTTACGGGTACATGTACGGGGGCAAATTGAGATAGACCCTCCCCCACACCCTGCAACCCCTAACCTCCAATTTTTAACCTCTACAAAAAGTTTTCCGAAAATGATCAGAAACGCGTGTAACGTCAAAAAACAAAGTTCGAGCGCTTTTTATTTTGTTTTATTTTTTTCCTTTTTTGCCCATCGCTTCGCCTCCACTGGACCGATTTTCAAAAAATAAAAAGTTTTTCGTCCTTACATAGTAATAACAATCTGTGAATATTTCACCAAAATACTAGAGGTCCTTTCCAAGTTAAAGAGGGGTCAAAATGATTAGCGGTCAGACAGAGAGAGAGAGAGAGAGACAGACCGACGGAAATGAGTGATCTACATGTCATATAACTTCCAAAAAGCATATCTCAATACAGAGGTTTTATATGTTTCCAATGTTTCCTCGCCAGGGTGCGTGGTAAGTAAAATAGAGAAATATTGAGAACTTTCTTACAAAGTGGTGGTTCTTTAATGCATTCTGTAAGAAATTTAGGTGTAAATTTTGGTATCCAAAAAGGGCCATCAGTTCAGTTTATAGACCGTTTCGTGACACAGTTTGTGAGACTGGATCATTAGTGATTTAGCAAGTGATATTTCTCAATCACGTATGTTACCAGATACCGTGAAAATGCGCGATATCACAGATATTCCAAATCGGCCATCCCTAATCAAGATCAACTAGACAACGCTTCTCAGGAACTGGATATTTTTGACATTTCTCTTTGGAAAATTTTGCATAAGGACCTCGGTACGAAGGCTTACAAAGCTCATTTGGTCCTTGAACCCCAGAGGTTGAAGCCCGCTTAGGCATTTTTACCGAAAAGATGGAGCTCATTTCTAGCTCGGAGGCTGTGTTACTAAACAAAACTGCCACACAAGTTGTCGAAGAGAAGCCAATGCATCCATAATGTGTGACTGGTGCAGTTCTTGGCCCTGTGCCATCGGTGAGCCATTTTTCTTCGAGAATGACCAATGAAATGCCGTTTCGATCAATGGTGAGCATAACGGTGTCCTGCTCAACGAATTTTTGTTTGTAAAAGTTTAAAAAAGTTGCATGAACGACAAATGGTTTAGACAAGACGAGCACAGTGGTATGGAACACCGAAAAGCTAGCAGGAAAATACAGTTTCTACGACACTTGTAAAGATTTTCTGCACAAGAAGGTTTTTTGGGTCCGTGATTTCAAATCTGGGGTTAGTTTTGTCTCTATGAGCGAAGTTGAAAGTGACTGCAGGGTCATATCAAAGGCATTCTCGCAAACAGGGTCAGCTGTGACAGCCATCTGGATGATATTGTGTTTCATCCTTAAATGTCAGCAATCAACTTTTCCAATAAAACCACAAATTTTTGATTGAGTTTTATCGATCAAATGTCAACTATTAAATAGCCCACCCTTTACCAGCAACAAATAACTTGCTTAAGTATCACTTAAATCCATGAATAATAATGCAGCTTGATACACTAGCAAAAAGGTCATTTTTTCGATATCCCATTGGGATCTCGGAAACGGCAAGAAATACGTTACTTAAATAGGGGAAAAGCTACGCATTAAGGTAACCAAGACAATGGAACTTAGAGAGTTTTGCAATTCCAAGTATTTTTATTTGAGATGTAATTTCAAAATGAAGAGTGCATTAACGTTGCCACTTTTCCGCAAAATGAAGTATGAATGAATTAGAATGTCAATACGACATTTCGCCTCTTGTGTTCAGTCATTAGCTTTGTTTTTTCTTATGTGCCATATTGTATTTTTGCAAGGGTGAGTACAGTTTTTAATGCTGATTCCAAAAAGGTATAAAGATTGACATCATCAAACCTAAGTTATTTAAAAAAACTAATATCTGGATTTGAAAATGCAAGTTTATCACATCTTTATCCGATCAAATCACCAATGCTTCAATTTCTAAGAAGCGTGTTTACAAGCCATTGAAATAATTTTCCCTTTTATCGAATATGACCATGTTATTTTAGCGCTATCGAGGCTCTATATGACAACTCAGCCGTAGATTAATAGTATTTGAAAGCAAGTTTTGACAGTTGTGAGCACCGATTTAAATGTGGCAGATATAAAATGTGTTTTTGGGAGCTGCTACATCGTCGAGGCTTTTATTCGCTCCAAAATATTTCTATCAGTTACATAAAATAATACTGTTTTCAATGGTTTCGATTAAATGGCATAAAAAAATTTCAGCCCTCAAGACGAGTTAACACACACTATTGATTATAGGTATTACTTTTTTAGACATTTGAAGTTTTATCTATGTCATGATATGTACAAAATCACATCATTAAAACAGGAAAAATGGATTGTTCACCTATCCCTAGTTGATACAAACTGAAGGCATGCTTCGCTGGCTAATGAAATTAAACAAATGACTGTCTGAAAATTTCAAGGCTTTCTTAGGAAATTCTATTTTATTTAAATAATTAAGGTAAGACAATGTCAATGTATGGTATATTATACATTTTAAGAATCAGAATTAAAAATTCTACCCACCCGTCTGAACATCCAATATGGCGCCTATAAGGAAAAATTAAGTTGATGATTGAGAACAAGAGACGAAACGTCATATTGAAATTCTAATTACGCCATCTTGTAGAGGAGAAAAAGTGACAAAGTTAATGCACTTTTTATTTTGAAATCTCATCTCAAATAAAGCTAGAAAAACATAGAAACGATTTTAGGAAAGATCGGTTGTTCCTTTCGTCTATCCTCGGACGTACTAGGAGTTGCAAAACTTCTAAGTTCCATTTGCTTAGTTACCTAAACGCGCAACTTTGCCCCATTTAACCAACTTATATCTCTTAGACAGTCGAATTTGAAGCACCCGGTAGATCACATGATGCTCTTTTATTGAAAGTCGCCTCTGTATACGCATCATTTTTCCATAATCTTGATTCACATCATTATCACGTAAAAGATAGGTGCGCTAAAACCAGTCAATTGAAAAAGGTGCAGCTGAAACCATAAGTAAAGTGAA